CGACGGCGTTGTCATGTTCAGATATTGCTTTTGTAATAATACTTGGGCTCTTGTGGTATGGGTCAGGCATGTTGATTAGTATTATGATTGGGGCTGGAATTCAGGAACAACAAAATCATGAGAAGAATAGTCAAATCATCCCAAGCGCAATGGGGGATGAGAGTCATCTTCTATTTATCGAGCAACCGGAGGATGTCGTAGTTAACTAGCGGACTAGCTGGACCTCGAAGACGGGTTCACGAAAACAGGCAGAGCCATCCAACGCAACCAACCGAGGTCTGAAGCACAGCTGAAACCGCAATGAAAGGGCAGACGGTCCGACTTTTATAGCAGCCCGTCGAGTTCCAGCGCAATTCCTCAGCATTTCCGCCACGATGGAGATGAGTCAAGGCCTCTTTTTCGTGCATCAGACTTTCGGGTACTCCGCATGGAGAACCAACTCCCAAACCTTTTTTTCGCCCGTCGACGAAAACGCAGCGCGCGATGAGGAAACCTCCCCAGATATCCAGCCTGTTAATTGGTGATTTCCGCCAGAACTCCTTGCGCTCCCAACCCGACATTGCCCGATCAGACCTGTGCCATCCCTTCCCGTCTCCAGCAGAGGGCCCCCCCCGAACAGCAGCTCTCACAAGCTGAAGTCGCAATTTCCTCGAATCCCCTTCATTCGGGGTGTGAGTCTGGCCTGCCCGTAACCTCGTTCTCCCTCCACATCCCCCCCTTCCCAAGCCTTGGAACTCGCTTCATATATGTCAGGGCCTGGATCCTGTCCTAGTCGTTCTCATTTGGAGCCCCGATGCGCTTGTCCAGATTTCATAAAGCCTCCTCTCGTTGCTCTGTCTCCATTCCTATTCTGTCTTGCACACTTTCAACTTCCCGTCATCCCTTGGTGTCACCACTGCCCACCATGAGTCACTCACTCCCTCGCTATCAGCAGCTCAATGCTGTCCACACCTCCACCCCGTGAGTATCTCGATTGCCATGCACCGTCCAATGCCTCATGAGCTGACAGCCATCGTCCGTTCTAGAGAGAAGAACTTTGACACCGCCAATCCTGGCTATATCCGCAAATACCTTCGCACATATGGCCTTACGCCACCCCATGTTGATAGCTACGAGGTTCAAAAAACAAGATGTATGGAGTCAGCTGTTCAGGAGAACAAGAGGCGTTGAGCTCAGGTGCTAATTGCTCTGCCTTTGATTAGGTCTCACACAATTAGCACTCAAGTCAACAGCCATAGATAAATTTCTTTATCTGAGCGCCATCCGAAAGAACAATGTTCATTTGTTTTACCGCCTGGTGATGGATCACTTGAAGGTAAACAATCCATCCTTACCGCAATGTCACGATTGGGCCCAGTGAGCTCACCAGACGCAGGCACTGACACCATTGATCTACACTCCTGTGGTTGGAGAAGCTTGTCTGAAGTGGTCGGAGATTTACCAACAACCCGAAGGTAAGACGATCCATGCAATTGGTAGCAATCACATGCTAATGACCTGCCTCTCAACTAGGAATGTATATCAGTTATGAGGATCGCGGGAACATTGCGGCCATTCTAAATAACTGGCCTCAACCCAACGTGGAGATCACATGCATAACCGACGGCTCGAGAATTCTTGGATTGGGTGACCTCGGCATCAATGGCATGGGTATCCCCATTGGCAAGCTTGCACTCTATACTGCCTGTGCTGGCATTCGACCTGAAGCTACGCTTCCGCTCACATTAGACTTGGGCACAAGCAACAAGGCTCTGAGAGAAGACCCCCTATATATGGGAAGCCGCAGGGACAAGGTCACTCCTGCACAAGAACTTGAATTCCTAGATGAGTTGATGGTTGCTCTAACAGAAAAATGGCCAGGGTTAGTAATTGCCAGCCAGAGCAATCTTGTCAAAACAACAGGTCTAACATTGTTTGCAGTATCGTGGTCCAGTTCGAAGACTTCAAGAACCCTTTCCCCGCCCTTGAGCGGTATCGTCACAAGTATACTAGCTTTAACGACGATATCCAAGGAACTGGAGCTGTCATCCTGGCTGGTGTGATGAATGCTGTCAAAAAATCTGGAATTCCTCCACGGAATCACAAAGCCGTGTTCTTGGGAGCCGGTAGTGCTGGTGTCGGCGTTGCCAAGCAAATTGTTGATTTCTTTGTTCGCGAGGGAATGAGCGAAGACGACGCCCGGGCCTGCTTCTATCTTGTCGATACCAAAGGCCTCGTGACAGCTGACCGTGGCGACAAGTTGGCGCCACACAAGGTATACTTTGCAAGAACGGATAATGCCGGTCAACAGTTCAAAACCCTGGAAGACGTTGTGAACTACGTTAAACCTACTATGCTCATGGGATTGTCTACTCTTGGAGGCGTTTTCACGCCGCAGATCCTGAAGAAGATGAGTGATTGGAATAGAACTCCCATCATTTTCCCTCTGTCGAACCCTTCGGCCAATTCGGAATGTAACTTTGAGTCCGCTATTGTCAACACTGATGGCCGCTGTCTCTTTGCTTCCGGGTCTCCATTCCAGCCGTTTTCCTACACAAACCATGCCGGTGAAACCAAGACCCATTATCCCGGCCAAGGTAACAATATGTATGTGTTCCCAGGTATTGGACTAGGGACCATTCTCTCCAAGGCAGTGGAAATCACCGATAGCATGATCTACGCATCCGCGCAGGCGCTTTCCACCGCGTTGACAAAGGAAGAAACTGATCTAGGGCTCCTCTACCCCGACATTACCAGGATTAGGGAGGTCAGCGTGACCGTTGCGCGTGGAGTGATCCGCGCAGCTCAGGATGCCAAGGTTGATCGTGAAACCGGGATCCGCTCTCTCTCTGATTCTGACCTGGATGCTTGGATCAAGACCCGAATGTACAATCCTCATGGCGAGACCCAGTCTTTGGAGAAAGAAGTTGGTCTTCTCCTTTCTTCCATCGGCCGGTTTACTATGAGCACGGTCCAACCAGACGATTCAAAGCTGTGAGCTTTGGGCTGCTCAACTCCATGATTCCCTGACCGGTTTACCCATCAGTTTTCCCTTTGTGCATTTTATTTTCTAGCCAGCATTTTCATTCTAAGGTCGCCGACCGATTCACGCGGGGTAGAGAGGCGGGATCTGGGTCAAAGTCACATCATGAGTGTTTCTATGTTTTGATGCCTTGGCGGACGAAACCATGTACGCCCCAAATTTGTGATATCCCTGATTTCTGTATGCACCGAGGAGGCTCACGCATTCTCCCTTCTACTTTTTGTTTTTGGTTATTGATGCATTTGTGGGCCTGGTTAGAGGGTGTTGCTTTTAATTTTGATGCTTCTTCTTCATCGACTTGCTCCTGGCCATTTAATAATAATACAACCTTTTACCAGGAAACATTTGTTATACTACTTTGCTGTCTCGAGGGACCTCGGCGCCTTGATCGCTGTGAGCTGTAGCCCTATAGAGAGCCATCCCACCACCTTGGGCGCCCGAGCACGAGTGGAGCACAATAGGTCCTACGCCACGTGGCGAAGAAGAGATCCGGCGAGAGCTCTCCCCTGAAGAAGCGTTGGAGAGCCGGGGCCAGGATCTCCACATGTCAGGCTGTCAAGGCGGTTAGGGATAGAGCTCGGAGAAGTTCCGTGAAGCATAAATAAGCTCCCTCCAGCTCGCCAAGTGGACATTTCGGAGGGGATCCCCGTGTTGCTCTTTGTTTTTTTTTTGGATCTGCGTGAACTCCACTCTTGGGCTACTTTTCTTTTTGATCGGTTTTTGGAGATGTTTGCGGATTGATGGGTGGCCTTGTGGGGATGTTTTTCGGTGGTGGGAAGGATGTGGTGCGGGGACTCAGATCACGAAGCACGGGACAATTAGGAGAAAAATATTGCGGGGGAATAAGACAGAGAACATGTGCCCTTGAAAATGACAATAACTGTGAGGTGGAGCAACTTCTCCCGAGTCTGTATCGGATAGCGACAGGGTAAGGCATGCGGGGTAATAAGTATTGATTATCTGTGGCGTGCAGTCTGAGCCTTTTCAGCTCTGCTTTTTAGTCAAGATCCTGTTGTTTGTGCTCAATAACTATTACAGCAGGACCAGGTTTGGGCAAAGGCTTCAGATGTTTTTTCAGCGATGAAGCCGATCACACTCGGCAAGTCTAGATGCTCTAAGGTTGTGATGACAAACAGAGCGTAACTTACCTTTGGCAGCAGCACTCGACCGCTCTTGAGCTTGGACTTGTTCCTTTTCAATTTTGCAAACTTTTGGTAACATTCAGCAACCAGTTCCTTTTGATATTATATCAGACGAAACTATGTGGAGCAAGCCATGGGATCCTAGTGAAATGTAGAAGTACATACTTGGGATAAAATAGAACTTGTTCAATTGATCTATGTACTGGTGTTGAGGCCAGCTATATATAGGTATTGCTAAATTATCGCTATCAGATTTGTGTGTTAGACACTAAGAAAAAAGATAAGTGAGAGCTGACAAATCAACAAAGGAAAGGTATCTGAGACCATAAAGTACATCGCAATATAATTCTATATAAAAGTATTTACTACGGAGTACATACCCTGAAAATCTGTCCCCAACACTTGCACTTGGAAATTCACATTCCACATTCAATTTCTTGCAATTTGACTCACGTTCAATTCGCTAGGATCTACGGATTCGATCCCCATGCTAGGGATTAAGGGATTTGATCTCATGATCAATTTGCTAGGGCAAGGGAATCACCATGCAGTTGTGATTCGCTATCAGAGACACTGGTAGGCTGGGCCGGCGGGACCGGGATCCCGACCCCGGTTCCGGCTTTCCCGTCCCATTATTTCCCTCCCATGGAATGGACCTGCCGGGACCAAGTATAGCGGGGATGGGTTGGGCCCGGGACCCCAAATGCGTGGGCAGTGTGTGAACTGAATCATGTATTCCCCGAATGCATTTGGAATAGTTTGAATCCAATTTAATTCAGGTCCAGAAATATGTAGAGACTGTGTGCGGAGTACATGTATCTGAATCCTGGTCCTGCTAGACCAGTCTAGGTGTCGGCGGTTCACCAAATCTCCATCCCCAGAGTATCAAAAGCTGGAGGTGCCATGCACCCTCTCCCGCCCCAGCCAAGTCAGACAATGTGATTTCGGCTGATCCGGCTACCAGCGGCGTCGTAGTAATCAACAGTACAGTGCTGCCGTCTGTCGCTTCTGCTGGTGTGCCAGCCGTTCCTAAAAAATCCTCTCGTCAGCAGCCTAGTTGTGATGAGGGATGCAACGAACTTACACCACACTGGCACTCGCAGCCCGTGCAGGCGCTTGGCTAATGACCAAGTTGATAATCCTCATCCTCTCCGCAGGATTGTTCGAGTACATGTTGGACGGGTCAAAAGTAACATCGCTGGAATGCATGGTGAACCAAGCTTTTGCGCTGTCTTTGAGAAACCAAGATGGAAAATGAGCTTAGAAGGAAGACGGCTTTTGGCAGAGGCAGGTGTTTGAAGAAAATTGAGCCATGGTGAACCCACGTCAACTTATATTTCTTGCTCACCAGAGCCCAGCCGGACACTGACCATCTTGCAATCCAGGCCCTGCCTTTGGAATGATCCTAAGTAGTTGATCGATAACGTACTCACCAAAGGAGCATGTTGAGCGGATAGTTAGTCATGGCCAATGAAAGCCATTATTTATAGTGTTGATGCACCTCAATCACCAAAACGAAGCGGATGAATGGAAGATTGAGATGAATGACACGAGCTATGACACCTGATCACAGATGAAGGCGCATCAGGGTCAGTTCTCTTGTTGGGGCAAGTGAATCACAATGCAGTTGTTATTCGCTACAAGAGACAGGGGGATTGGAACCCCGTTGGAGGAACAAATAAAGACCGAGAACGCCAAGGGCATCAAGCCCTCAAGCATTAGTTAGCGCGACACACCAACACATGGTTGGCCGGGCCGCCATGGTCCATGTATGTAGTTAGACCGTAGCCATCCTACCAAATACTCACAACTAATTTGCTCTATCATAAAAATGGTACTCCGTGACGCAGTTCCGAGACTCGTCCAAACCAAGGGACAGAAACACCCCGTGTACGTAACCGCACAGCGGGCGCGGGTACGTTCAAAAACCCATGCTCGAGCTCAATGTAAAAGATTTGGCGGGGTCGGCGGGGTCAGAATAAAGCCGCTAACTAATCTACTTTGGGTCTAGGGGGTGTTTTGCTACATTGTATACGCGGGGTGTTTCTGTACACGGTCTTTAAATGTATACATACCCCGAAAACTTTGTTCCACGCTCTTTGGGAATGTCTACGCAGTTTCTCTCGAAGTTTCGGACTTTCCCATCACAATCCTGCATCTCTTACAAAACATTCCGCTCAGTAACTCTTGTACAACGCAGCCCCACCGCAGCCATGAGTACCTCGTCTCCTCCCACTCCGCCATCAAGGGCCTTAATAGATGGCGAACGGCGATTCAAAGCTATTACATTACCCTGTGAGTGGGTAGAGGATTACCGCCCAGGTGGTTATCATCCAGTTGTTCTCGGTGATGTCTTCAACCACCAGTACAAGGTCATCCGGAAACTTGGCGAGGGCTCCTACTCAACGGTTTGGCTCGCCCGTGACCTGAAGTGAGTTCATCTTTTGCATTTTCTACCTACAACGCTATATATTATCGTCACTCATTTCTTTTAAGAGACAGTGGATATGTCGCCCTGAAAATCCTTGTATCGGAAATCTCAGGGTCGACAACCGAGCTACAAATCTTACGCCACATCAATGAAGTTGCACCAGTAGAAGGGACCCGATATATCACACGACTGCTAGACGAGTTCGAACACCGCGGGCCCAATGGTGTTCACAAGTGCCTGGTCCTTGAGCCCATGGGTCCGAGTGTGAATACTATGGTTGAGGAGCTGCCGCAGTTCAACCCTCGTAGGCGAGAAATGAAGGTCCGCTATCCGCTTCAGATGGCAAAGAGCATCCTCAAGCAATCCTTACAGGCTCTTGTATTTCTCCACAAAATTGGTATCGCCCATGGAGACTTCCAGCCGGGTAACATACTCTTCACTCTTAATGATGTCGACTCGACGCCCGAGGACTTACTCCGGCAGGAGGAAGATTTGCAAGCCGGGTCGATCTCGCCCCCGGTGCAGAGGCTAGACGGTAAACAAGATAAATGGGCTCCTCGATATCTTTGCGTTGCGCAGCCACTAGTGCGCTCTGCTTGCTACGCCGAAGGGTTTAAGGTCAAATTATCTGATATGGGCGGTGGTCAGTCTCTCGCGTTTCGATTATCTGTCCGTTTTTCTTGACAAATATCTATACTCATACCTGACCGGCCTGCATAGCATATTTCTTTACCGACCCGCCAACAAAGCCTGTTACTCCACTCGGTCTTCGAGCTCCCGAATTGATTCTTACCGGAGCCGTCAATAATACCGTTGATGTCTGGAGTTTCGGTTGCCTTGTCTTTGAGCTTATCACCGGACAGCCACTCTTCTGTATACCATACTCCGGGATGGAAGATGACGATCATCTTCTCTCCCTCACCACCCAGCTTGGCGCCCTTCCCGATGAGTTATACAAGCATTGGACGACTTCGTCGCTCTACTTTACGCCTGAGAGGAAGCTCTTTAATTGCCATCTTGGAGGAGTTGCTCCGGGGGAGGAACCACTTATGGTGGAGCAGACATCCATGGAAGAGTCATTCGATCGGGCAAGCCCGGATCTTGATGAGGAGGAAGCCCACAAAGTGAAGGCGCTCATTCGATGGATTTTGCAATATGATCCCGCGAAGAGACCTTCGCCTGCGGAAATCTTAGCTGATCCATGGTTCTGCGAGATTGATGTTGAAAGCAACTAGTCCAAGGTATCTATAGTCTAGTATCTTGCATGGCCATTGTCATACTCCAGACGTTGGTACTCCGCTTATGGTCTCTGGTGTTGTGTTTCTGGGTTAGGAGCAATATCCAAGTCAAAATCAGAACCACCTCGGTTTTAAACATGGAGATAGCATTTCGGCAGTCTGAAATGTGTGTTGCTGTGGGTCAAACTATATCCTGGTGATTCTGTTACAGTCACAAATCACAGCTTCAGCATTGTTGGGGATGCATTCACTACTCTTTTTCAGATGATCCCACACTGGGAGATCATGTTACATGTAAGAGAATATTCATCAAGACCATTCAAAAAAGACTGGATTTCTGTAATGGTCAAATCAAGAATGCATGATTAGTCAAGTCATGTTTCTGGTTATAAGGTGGGACATACACTTTTATATTGATAGTTTGTTGGAAGCAGCTAATGTGATGAATGGAGCTGTTCTTTACAGTATATCTCTGCTGCTCCCAACCACTGGTGGGGAGGAGTTGTATTTTTGACTGTACTTTATTATTTGGTTTTTGAACTGCAGAATGCATTGAGCTTGAGGTAGTACTCAATTTTGGCTGCTAGCCACTTCAAAGACAATTGCATTTTTGACTGCAGTTTTGTTTCTTGTTGCCTCATTCATTGCTTATAGAAGCATGATGTCAGTAGTAGCACCCCGAGCCACATTTTGCAAACAGTACAAACATGCATCATATCTGCAGAGAGCCAGTTATTCATAACCTCCATCTACCAAGTCGCTTGCCAGACCAAGTCATCCCCCGCTCTTCATCAGACTCCTTTCTTTTGTCTGCGTGCATCCAGCCTATTGGGCTGTTGGGCTGTTGCAGAATCCTACTGTAGCACAGTGCCACCTAGTGCAAAAGGGCTACCACCCCATATTGGCACCACGGTCGATTTCCACCATCCGCAGGAATTGGCTTGGTTGACAACAGCTTTGTCGATCAGTTTAATTGCCCAAAGCCATGGCATGCGCCTTTGCTGTGGCCGCTTCCCTGATCCTCCCTGTCCACTAACGTAGAGAGCTTCCTGGACCGCTCGCACACATCCGGCCTGGGGATTTTTCTGCCCTTTTCTAACTTAGAATGGACGCTTCCAAGCTCGATGTTTTGCTACTCACTTGACCTGGCTAGCTGGGTGTAACGGGGCCTAATGTACACAGCCTAGGCCAACAAAGGCTCTGGAAATAGGTGTAATGCCACACTTTGAAGCACAGCATGGGCTGAAAATTTGTCCTCTACATCACGATGTATATGTGTATATACATGCCCATCAACGGGAAACGGCAGATCTCTTGTGGTCCCTCGGGGCTCAAGGAGATATACCATTGGCGTGAATCTCTGCACGTGTCCTGGCTACAATACTTTTCTCGCGCATGAAGTTCAGATTTCATCGTATCTGTGACCTAGTGTCTATTTTGCCCATGCTGGATAGGGTTGGAGGGTTGCTACCTTGAACGGCACTGTTCCACAGCGTCCAACGGAGGCGATCGAAGACGATGAACACAATGATTATACTTATCTGGCTATATCCCTCATTTTTTTCGGACTTTTTTGATCTTCGAGATTTTTAAGCAACAATGACGCCAGAGATAGATACCAGACATTCAAGCAGCGACGAAGTTAAAGTCGAACAAACTAATATTGAGCATTCTTCAGAAGCATCTCACGAGAAAGATGTCGAGGCTGGGAATGCACCACTTGTCCGAGCTCTTGGGGAAAGACATCTACAGATGATAGGAATCGGTATGCAGGGTTCTTCACTTATGACCATTATCTTGCTAACTAAAAGAACATTTAGGAGGCTCAATCGGGGCTGGTTTGTTCATCGGGTCCGGAAAAGCATTAAGCACCGGCGGCCCAGCTAGCTTGGTACGATTTGTTATCGGATTCCAAAACATACAATTGCTAATGGTTTCGACCCATTTGCAGTTGCTAGGGTTTTCTGTTGTTGGTATTATGGTGGTGTGCAATATACAAGCCTTGGGCGAATTAGCCGTAACCTACCCAGTGAATGGCGCTTTCTACATGTACTCAGTCCGCTTTATTGACCCAGCATGGTAAGCATCACTTTTGTTTTTGGATTATTGATTGCCTGAGCTGATGTCCGATTTTCCTAGGGGGTTTGCGATAGGATGGCAGTACGCGATATCGTGGCTGATAACTCTCCCGTTTGAAATCACATGTGCAGGGCTGACAATCCAATTCTGGACATCAAACATCAACATTGGAGTCTGGGTTGCTGTTTTTCTTGGAACATTGATTGTGATACAGTTTTTCGGCATCAAAGGCTATGGAGAATGTAAGGGACGACTTATTTCTTTTTTCGAGGGATTCAAACGATGATATTGGCTGACAATCCATATAGCTGAATTCATCCTTGCACTTATCAAAGTCATAGCTTGCATTGGATTGATTATTCTCGGGATTATCATCAATGTCGGCGGTGTGCCAACGGACACTCGGGGTTACATTGGTGGAAGATATTGGCATGACCCAGGCGCTTTTCGGAATGGGTTTAAAGGCTTTGTATCTGTCCTGGTTGCCGCTGCATTTGCGTATGGAGGTGCTGAGATGGT